AGAGAACATTCTAATCCACTTAAATTGGATTTACAAGGCTTTATTTTGAGAATAAAAGCTGATAATGGTGGAGAAAGAACCATCAGAAATGTTTAAAACCGGAAAAATTGAGTGCAACAACTGGTACACATGGCGCACACAGATTCGCGGAGAGAAATAAATTGGCCCATCAACAAGCCTAGCCGTTCAAGCCACTCCACCAAGCCGCGCCACGTGGCATCTTCTGCGGCCGTCCCCCGTGATTTCCCCACACTTTCACGTGCGTTTCGTGCACGCCAGGCCCCAGATCGCGAGTTCTCTCCACGTGCGTGTAAGCCGAGCTCTCTCTTCTTCCGCGTGGGACCCAGCTGTTCCCTCGCGCACGTGGGTGACTCTCTCTACTACGCAAATGGGAACTTGACGATGCAATCTAATTTCTATAGTCAGTGGATGTAAATTTTAATACTCTCGTATCTGTAGCAGCTTCATATTTAGCCAGAAAAAATGTACAGCGTCTTATGAAATCTAGAACTGAGAGAATGGATGGACATTAAATTATATTACCAATAACTCTTGGACCAAAACTTGGAGCCCATAAAACAAAATAGATATGACATGAGACGTTACATGCACATTCTAGTATACATGGTGGTGACACAATTTCCTTTTTGTTTTGTTTTTTTCATTTTCCCACATTCAAGGCTCATGGCTGTTTACCCGGCTGTGAAGTTCCAGCATTTCTTGATGATTGGGGTCGACGGAGAGGGCAGCTCGACAGTCTCGCAAAGCAGCCAACACATCCCCAACGTGCTCATGGAATGCGGCCCGCAAGTGTAGAAGATGAAGATCTGCTTTGAATGCTATTGCCCTTGACAGCTCTGCAATCGCTTCTGTTTCCTTGTGGTTGTCCATTAACACTGTTTAAATCACAAACAAAAACGCGTCAACTTCAATACCTGCTAAACGAGGCTTGTTTTGGTTTTTACCCAACAACCAGCCAAAAACAAAAACGAAACTGCACAATAATGGAAATTAGTTTTTATCGACGCTTCCACGACTTGAGGAACAGTCGCAATCAAAAGTGATGCGCAAATTGTTTATCAATTATTTGTCGCAAAGAGCAATATTTTTTGCAACTTTTTTTAATGGCAAAAGGGATAAAATCATTTTGATAATGTGTTACAGCGAAATATGCTTATGTACCATGTATTTTTAATAATATTAAAATAATGCCCCGACGTTTTTAAAAACATATTCTTAATAACTTGAAACTGAATTTTGAGACTAAAACTAATAAATCCAGGAAAAAGAAAAATAAATTTTTTTTTGTTTTTTTTAAATATTTTGTTGTTTTAAAAAAAAATGATTTCTATCTAATTAATAAGGGTAGTTTGGACATTACATGTCCTAAAAATCAACTTCAGAATACTAAGAAGATATTTTAAAAAACATCGAGATACCATTTTAATATTATTAAAAACACATGATATTAAGAACATGTTTTGTTGTAATACAAAGTACTAAATTAATTTTATCCCATGGCAAAACCATTAGGCAGGCTTGTATTCACAGAGATTAATAGGACTCTGACCTGCAGCGCGGTATCTGTAAGGGTAAACCCGAAGTGGATCTAATTGGGTAACCATCTCCAGGTCTGCCTTCGTGAGTTCCCGATCACAGTATTCAGATCTCTTCTCATAGGCAGAAGCATTGTTCTGAGCCTTCTCAATCAGTTTAGTCATTTCATCGTAAGCCGCAGCCTTATCATTTCTGAGAAAATGTACCCGAGCAAGGCCCTGATGAGCTCGGGTATGCCGGATTTTGAGAGCATTGATGTAGCAATCTGCTGCCTGGTCTAACTCCCCACAGTCAACATAAACACTACCAAGATTGTTCAGCGCCTGACAAATCAAAATTGAAGGGCAAGGAAAAAGGTCAAAAATCGTTTAGCGGCCTTCCTGTTTTTATGCGAGTAAAACTGTAAAAGTCAACCATCGCATACTTGGGCTCCTTCAAAAAAAAGAACCAAAAAAAAACAAAAGACACATTATCTACATTAACCTCTCTAAGATCAAAATCGGATATTAAATGTAGAGGCACCCAGACTTTTATACAAGGAAATACCCTCCAGGAAACAACACAAATTCTACTCTGGCAACCACCTTGTAAAACAAATATTTTATAGGGACAAATATTTCTGTTCTACCTAATACAAATCCTTTTTGTTTTTTTTTTTTTTTTTTTTTTTTTTTTTGGGAAAAATTT